GAAAAACATGGAAACAAAGTCTTTGTAAACAGGGAAGGGTGGAGGGGGTGGAGGGAGGGCAGGGGAATGGGGAAAAAGTAAGAACCAAGATACATCATATTAAGGTACAAGATCCCAATGATGAATGTAACTGTATTGTATACCTAAAATGTACCAATAAACTACATGAAAAAATGCATCTTCCAAACAAAACAAATAAAATAGAAATTATAAGAGTATTTAAGAATCCCACAGTTGCTTCTAGCAGGTTCAAAACTTCGTTGGAATACATTTGTAATCATTTCCTTGCGGATTCTCTGATAACATAATTTTCTGAATTGAAATGACTGCTTCCTGATTGCTCCAATTTTCCCACTTGCTTTCCCTGGATTATATTATTAATTTTGTGCTGTTAGTGACTATGCATGTTGACAGATTTCCCAGAGGACTATTGACAAATACTGCTGATAAAAAATCTCATTTTTTCTCTTCATTGGTTTCTTCATGTAATTTATAATATTGCCTATTCTTTAACTCAGTGAAAAGATTATTTGAGAGGCTACTTGAGACCTAGTAGAAAGCAAATACAGGCTATTGTAATCTTTGTCAGGAATTATTTACTCTTGTACATAAATAAAAATATGTTCCATATGTACGATTATTTTGATCTTAAAGGTCAAATGCTTGTTAAAGAAAGACAAGATTGGGAATCTGCAGCTCCCCTTAATCCTCTTATGGTATTTTCCTTAAAGTCATATATTAAATTTTATTTATAATAGTTTCTGTATAAACTTGGGCACATATATATATATATATACACATATATATGTCCTTATATAGGGATATATGTATCTAGACAGGTATGAATAGAATAAAAATAAAATTGTAAGCCTTTTTATATTATGAAAAGCTATAGGTGGAATTCAACATAGCATGTCTTTTTAAGTCAGCTCTAAAGAGTATTAGGAGGTTTTTGTTTTGGGTACCAGGGATCGAACTTGGGTCCTTGCACTTGCGAGGCAGGCAGTGGAACCACTGAGCTAAATCCCCGGCAGAGGTTTTTTTTAAAAGACTACAAAATTGTTGTGAAACAGTTTCTAGTCCCCTCTGTCATGAGCTGTATAAGTCATTTAGCTTTTTTTGGCCTCAGTTTACATATTTTAAAATTTTAAATACAAAAATAATTATAGATATTTGACTTTTTCTATCATAATATGCTGAGAAAATGGATACAGAATAGTCAGCACATGTTTTTTTGTTGCTGTTGTGAAATATGACTTTCAATGGCAGACAAGACACTCTCCTAGAAACTAATTAGATCCTAAATAAAACACTGGTTTCTTGCTTCTTTTGATGGAAATAGGTAAAATAAACTCGAACTCCAATCCCTCCCCCTCCACAAAAGAAGTAAATAAAAAGACACAAGCTGAGCCTGTGTGGGAGCTTGGAGCCCTGAGCAGATAAATGTGCTAAGCAAGAACCAAAAGAGGAAAATTCTTCTGCTGACAGAAGATGTCAATTGAAGTGCTGTAAACTGCCATTTGGATCCTGAGCCTAGAGTCAACAGCAAGGAGCAGAACTGAACCTCACCTTTGACCTTAAGCCAGGACCCTCAAAGAAAACTAAAGTGGCCCCAGGTTGGTGGTCATATCAGCAACTAGCAAAAACCAAATCTTGTGGGATAGCTACCAGATTTTACAATTTATAATCAGGCGGATATTAGTTCATAATCAAAGACCATGAGGCACATCTATCTTAGGCCTGTCAGATAATAGAATAGATGTTTATAAAGTATTTAAAGAAATAAAGCATAGATCAGAACAATGAACAAACAACAGAAAAATATCAGGAATAATTAGTTGTTAAAAATAACTAAATGGAATATCTTGATATAAAATATGTAAATACTGAAAAAATGTTATCAAGTAGATAAGCCACATCAGAAAGGAAATTAACTTGACAATAGAAATAAACATAGTAAATTTGTTGGAAAGAAAATACAAATTTAATTCAGAAAAAAAAAGAGCTGGAAAGTATTAGAATAATTTAAAATATTGAGTATAAAATGAGGTCTAACATGTCAAATCAAAGTCACAGAATAAACCTAATCAAGGCACTATAATAGCTGAGAAATTTCCAGATATGCTGAAAACCCCAAATTCACAGTTTTAGAAAGTGCAGTATTTCCTAGCAGTATAAGTAAAAAGAAAACCAGTGCCTAGCTATTAGATAGTAGTGGCTTATAGAAAAATGAAGTCAAAGTTTTTAAGGCAGCCAGAAGAGAAAGAAATCACATACAGAGAAATGACCATTTCCTGGACAGCATAATGCTCAACAGTGATAACAAAACAGAAGGCAATGAAATAATATATTTGAACCATTGAGAGCAAAGTCTACTGTCTCTCAAGGATGAGAGTGAAAGACTTTACCAGGTAAACAAAAACTTAGTTTATCAATAGACTTAAACTATAGGAACTTCAGTTCTAAAGTTAACTCCTTAGAAAAGTGATATTTTTTGATGACAGTTCAATTAAGATAGAAGTCAGTGGCAAAAAGATATTTTTTAAATTTCGCATCTTTAGAAAGAGAATGTTTAATTATTCATGGATCAACTGAGAAATCACATGAATTTTTAAATACTTAAAGCTAAATCATGAAAATATAACATGTCAAAACCAATATTTTTGATAAACTCTACCATTTGTAAGCATTTAGGGGAAAATGTCTGAAAATAAACTAAATAACCATTTTAAGTATTTTGAAAAGAATAAGAGACTAAGCACAAAGAAAAAAAGAAGAGAATGAAAATAGCAAAATATCTAAATGGGAAACCAAACAAGAAGACTAATAAGGATAAAAGCTTTTTGAAAAGATTAAAAATTAGACTATCTTTTGGTAAGATTTCTTTTTTGGGGGGGGTACCGGGGATCGAACTCGGGTCCTTGCTCTTGCTCAGCAGGCAGCAAAACTACTGAGCTAAATCCCCAGCCCTAGGTAAGGTTTCTTGAGAAAAAGAGACTATAAGTAATATAAAGACTAATAAGGACACATAAATGTAATACTGATTAAAAAGAAAATACTATAAACAATTTTACAGCAGTAAATTTGAAAACCCAGATAAAATAATCATAGGAAAATATAGCATTAAAAAATCATAAAATTCAAATAGTCTTTAATAAAGCAACTGAGTTAGTACTTTAAAATGTGCTTATAGAAGGGCTGGGGATTTAGCTCAGTGGTGCTGCCACCTTTCTCGCAAGCACAAGGTCTGGAGTTCGATCCCTGGTACCAAAAAAAAAAAAAATCCCTACAGGAAAAATCAAGCACATATAATTTTATATGTGAAATTACCAAGAATTCAACAGTTATTTTCTTTTACAGATTTATGTAACAAATTTAAAAATAATAAATCATTGTACATTACCTAGGTAATAAACAAGTACAACTTGAAAAAAATTTATAGGCCAATACTCACTCAAGAACCTAAACAATTACCAAATAAAAACCTTACTTGAAAATTTTAAGTATTGTCAAATTATCTTCTTAGGGCAATTGCAATAGATAGATCGTAAGCATGAAAGATTGTAAAGAAATCAAAGTTTATGAGCCTTTCTTGGAATAAAAGTAAATTAGTTTAAAGCTCTATGTGACAAAATCTAGACAACAAACAGATGAATCAGAGTGTAGTAATGGGGAGGGTAGGATATCAAACACTTTGACCAAATTTAAGGACCAAATCATTTAAGACAGAATAAAGTGTAAACAACTCATTGAATTATGCTACCAGAACAAGATGTAAATGTTAAAAACCTAGACACTATAAAAGATAATTTAACTATCAAAAAACAAAAGGGGGGGTTGGAAAGAAGAAGGAAGTGGAAGACAGCAAAATGGTATCTTTCTCAAATTTCATAAAGAAGTTGATAGGTACTGTGTAAAATTGAAACATCATTTTTTTGTTGTTGTGGCAAGCCCTGAATCTGGGCCTTGCTCATTCTAGAAATATAATTTTAAAAATATGTTGAGTGCTCACAGCAGTAGTACATACACTAGAAAGAAAGAGGAAGAGAGAGACACAAATGAAGCTTAAAAACCTAAATGTCATGTCAAATAATTTTAACATTTCTAATATACATGTATTTTTACTCTAATAAAATTTTGCATTCCGGGTTAGATTTTATTAGAAACATAAATATATGATTTGTCTTCTGCAGGGTTTGTCACTGGGGAAGCCCTTGACTTTTGGAGTGGGCAGCTGATGCTGTTGGATCTATCAAGTGCAGGATGAGGTGCTTGGCATCTCTGGAAAATGCTAGGATTCCTGCAACTGTGAGGACCTAAATCCTGCCCTTACATTCCTAAATGCTCCCTTGGGAATTGGGACTATCTTGGATTGAGAACCACCACTCTAACCAAAGATTTTCATATCTTTTTAATTCAGAGCAATCTCAAAAGGGAATCATTTACTTGAAATTTGGTTTCATGTTTGTGTCCTTTTCTTCTATTAAACTAAAATAAAAATAAATTTAATACAGAGTAAAACCTCTTATTAATACAACCATTCATATTAATAAAAATATTTGCTGAAACAGAAAAGTGGAAAATATACATAGTTACTTTGTGTAATCATTGTGATAACACATACATAACAATATTTACCATGGCAAGCATTCATTCAGTTCTGCAGCAACAACGATACTCATACAGTTGTGCAGCCATCACCATTTTCCATCTCCAGAACTTTCTCATCTCCCCCGATTGCTTGTTTTATTACAACATATGTCATATATAGCAGTCATTTGTCATTTTCCAATCTTTTAATTTGAGGCCAATATCTGTTCTAATGGGTTCACCTGATTGGCATTCCCCTGGCCATTGTTTTTGCATGAACTATGCCCATAATGCACTCTCTAGGATACCCAGTTTCAATTTTTTAAAAATGAAACAAGAACTAAAAGACACTGCAGAGGAATCTGAGTCCAGGATCCCCATAAATTCCCCTCCCCCACCTCCCAATATTTGATCATTGTCATGCTCATGCCTGTTTAAAAGCACATTTTTAATTACTCTACAATTATACAGTATTTCTAACATACTTCTAGTTTTTATGGAAACAAAAATTTCTTCCACTTGCATTTGTACTTTATCACTTTTCATAACATCTAACTAAGTTATTATAACTTTTAAAAGTTTGGGTTCAAACACAGTTGATTCATAGAAAGCATTCCACTGTCCACCTGAACTGATAGGAACAGACGTTTGGGGACATCTAGAGGGCTATCTCTTGTTGTGAGCATTTCCAGTGAAGGATGTCCTTACAAAATGTTCTGGCAAGTTGGATATTGTATTAATCTAATGTTCTAAAATAGCATGTATCATTATGATGATTAATTTCACGTACCAACTTGACTAGGCCACAGGTTGCCCAGACATTTGATCAAACATTATCCCAGGTGTATCTTTGAGAGCATTTCTTGATAAGGTGAACATTTGAATGGGTACAATGAGTAAAACAGTTGTCTTCCCTAATATAGGTGGGCTTCACTCACTCAGTTGAATATGTGAGAATAACAAAGGCTGAGTAGAGAGGAATTCTTCCTGCCTCTCTGCTCTGAGCTGGATTATTTTTCTGGCCTTCATTAAGCTTCCCTGGGTCTCAAGCTTGCCATCTGTAGATTTTGGGACTTTGCAGAATTCCTAGTCCTGTGAGCCAGTTCCCTATAGTGTATGTCTATATGTGTGTAATATTATATTTTATTATTATATACATATTTTTATAGAGATGCAGCTGAGTGATGGTATTAAAAAGACACTATATTGTCTTAGCAACATTTCTGTAAATCTAAAATTATCCCAAAATAAAAACTTTTTAAAAATAGCACATACCATATGATCCCTCTTTCTGAAATCATTTCTAATTAGCTATCCTTTTATTTTTATTTATATATTCTGTTCACCAAATGTTGGTAATCTTTCCTTTGGGAAATTACTTCCTTCTTTATTTATAATTAGATATTGCTGGAATTTTAAAAAAATAATAAATATACATATCATTTTACTAAACTGACAAAATCATTCTTGAAAACATTTGAAGCTCTTTGACAAGGTGACTTCTAAAATTATCCAAACTCCAAAATCACAACGTTTGATTTTGCGTTAGTTTTTAATATCATGGCCTCACATTTGATAGTCTCCTTATGGACCCAAAGGTGATTTCACGACCAGGTTCCAAGGTTAATAGCATGCCACAGGATTAGATAAATGACCAGGTTGTGTTACTATAATATGTTGTTCCTGACTGCTTTAGTTCATTCAGGGTGCTATAACTAATTGCTGAAACAATGTGACTTACAAACAATAGAAATGTATTTCTCACATTTCAGAAGGCTTGGAAGTCCAAGAACAGGGCACCAGCAGATTTAGTGTCTACTAAGGGTACATTTCCTGGTTCATAGAAGACCATCTTTTGTGTCCCTCCCAGAAGGGGTGAGGGAGTTCTCAGGGGTCTCTTGGATAAGGCCACTAATGGAATTCATGAAGGCCCCACCATCATGCCCTAATGACCTCCCAGAACCCTATCTCCAAATACCATCACATCAGGATTCAGATTTCATCATGTGAATGAGGAAGGAATAGCAAATATTCAGGTTACAGCACTGACCCATACATCTGTGATAATTTTGCTTTTTTTATACCAGGAATCAAACTCAGGACCTTGGTCTTGCCAGGCAGAATCAGTGCTACTTTTGCTTTTTGATGGCTGTAAACATCATAAGGGAAGGAAAAGCTTCTGGTTGTAGTTCTCCTGTGATTCTATCCAGTGTGGCAATGATGGAATAACGAATTGTCAAGATTTATATCTCTGAATCAAAGCACAGCTTGCCATTAAGTAATCAGAGGAATTGAAAGAACAGGTTCCTAAATGTTTGATTACAAATAAAATTTTTTAGTGCTTATTCTCCTTATCCTCTTACTTTTTCCTCCTCTTCCTCCTCCTCCTCTTTCTTTCTCCCCGCCCCCCTTCTTCCCTCCCCTCTCCCCCCTGTGCCCTCCCTCCAGACTTCTTTCTCCTGACATCATTATAAATTCTCAGGGAGCCATTTATTTTCTTTTTTCACTCCACAATATGAACTCTTTGCAGCTGGGGACAGCACCACCTTCATTTCTGTGTCTGTGTCACCTAGCAGAGTTCTCACCCATGGGTCACAGAGGGTTGAGTATATGTCTTGAACTGGAGGCATTGCTGTGAGCTTAGCCACCTGTGGGGTTTTCTAGTTGCTCTTACTCATCAAAGTTCTATTTCTCTTCTTCCTTACTATTTTCCTTCCTCAGCTGTTTTTTCTCCTTGTAATATAGTTAGAAGCTTTTTGCATTTGCATCTTCTGAATGTTCCAACTCCAGGGCCATTCTGGTCATTGTATAAGGTCTTGCCTTTAACTGATGTTTCTAGAGGGTAATAATCTATACCAGTGCTTCTCAAACTTTATGGGGCATCAGAATCCCTTGGATGCCTTTTTAAAACAGAGTCCTGGGCCCACCTTCTGCAGTTTTCAGTCAGTGGGTCTGGGATGGAGTTGGAGGATTTGCATTTCTAACAAGTTCTCAGGTGGTACTGATGCTCCTACTAATACTCTTGGTCCAGAGAACCTGTACAGAATATAGTGACCTAAACATGATGCAAGGACTAGTTGGCTGGCTAATCCTCTGTGCGAGGAACAATAACAGAAAGACACAGAGATCTTCAAAGTCTTGAACTTACCCATACAATAAAGATAAAAGGAAGAATTTATTTTGTCTTAAACTTAAAGTATAAAGGCTTTTTTCTTATAATCGTCAGTCTTCCATTCAAATCATTTTCATAGGCTAAAAGTAAAGTTCATATTGTAAAGGGGGAAAAATTATTGATATTTCTATCAGAGTATATAAAAAGGTTAATTATGGCATGCACATCTTAAAGATCTTCTTGCTGTGTGAATCATCTCCAGAAATACTTGCCATAGAACTGAAATAGAAATGATTATATGAGTAAATTATCACCCACACTCCTTGCATGCATCATTTCATAACGAAAGCCTTTTCTCTGCAAGGAATAATGGTTTTATATTTTACTTTGTGATGGCACTCTAATTGCTAAATATAATAGGGACATTATGCTGCAAAGTTAAAAGATTTCAAGTGAAAAGATAAGTCAAATAAAGAAATCGCATCCAGCCAATGAGTCTTTAAAGTGTGCTCCTCAACCCCTCCACCCCTCTTCTTTCCCCAGTTGTGAGCTCTTACACAATCATTACCACAGCAGAGAAAAGCTAACAGGGATCCCGGCATCCTTCTAGTCCCACTAGGTCCCACTGGCAAAATCTGGACCATTTGTTTTCACTAATCAATGTTATTGGAAAATAGGCATGCCCACTTTAATTGGGAAACAGCCATGATCATTTATTTACATAGCATGTGGCTGCTTTCATACCATAATGACAGAGTGAAGTGGTTACAACACAGATTGTGTAGTCCAAAGCCAAAAATATTTATTACCTCACTCTGTACCAAAAAGGTTTACTATCCCTGAACTAGGTGGGTGAGAAGCCTATCCTGAGGGAGAAAGAGGTAGCTCAGGTTTGCACATTCAAACAGTCACAAGATGATTGCCCCCCACCAATACTGTAGAAGCTTTGATCCCTGAGAGTGCGTCAGAGTTGCCCTGTATGTATTCATGGGGAAGGAAACATTGGTTTAAGTTCGCATCTCATTATGATTTTCAGTGAGCCCCTCCATGTGTCAAACATCCCCCCAAAGTAGTGAGAAGTGTGTTCTGCCATTGCTCCAAATGTGACACTTTGCCCCCATGAGTGTATAGAGGGTGTCAGTAGCCTGACATTTGGAGCTTATTTCAATTAATGGAAAAAGTCCTTTTGCATCAACAAGAAAATCATCAAGATCACCTTGTCTTTCAGAAGATATACTGACATCATGTCGCATAGCATTCTTCAGAGTATCCCAGCCCACAAAGGAATGTGCTTCACGGTGTGCACTCTTATTTCCTTAAGTTATATTCACCGAGTGGGCAAAAGCATATGAGCGTGTTTGTATGTGAGCATATGAAGAGAGTTCCCATGATGACATATACATTCCAGGAAACAAAAACTCAATTTCATGTGACTTCCATTTTGCATTCCGTTAGTCCTATAAGACTTTTCTCTTCAGCCTTCAGTAGATATTCAGTAAATGAATGAATGATAAGTGGGTGAATGATTGGACAAATGAATGAATTAGTGAGTTAATGAATATACAAAAGGCAGAAGTGGGAACTATTTTGACCTCTTCAGAGAATTCCTTGTATAGATGGAAAATAGGAAATAGGAAAGAAGAGACAGACACAGTGGAAGACAAGACTGGAGAGGTGGGTAAAGGTCTGATTCTGGAATACCCTGTATGCCACCCTAGGTATTGGCTTGTATTAATTAGTTTAGCAATTCCACTTGCCAATCCTATGGTCATTACCACTTACCAATCCTGTCATAAGCTCTGGAGATACAAGA